GTATTTGATTTTGAGTTGCGTCCGCCCCAAAAATCTATTTTCATGTGTCTGACTAAAAAAACAATTTATTTATTAAATATAATACAGTGGAGAATTAAAGCAAGTAAAAGTACTGTATACTCTCTCTCTCTCTCTCTCTCTCTCATTCATTTTCAAATTCATCCATGCAGATTCCAGTACATGGTATGATGGATACGTTGCAGCTACCATGGACATGACTAAGGGGAGGCTCCCCAGTTTCATGTGAATTTTATGGCTGCAATTATGAGTTTGAGAATCGATAGAGAGAGTAATTAAAGGGTATCGATCGGAGTACCACACCACACCCGAAGCCATTACCCATTTATTTGTACTATCATCTATCAATACCAAGTTGTATTGTAGAGGATATCTCCCAAGTTGTAGAGGATTTTGAGTTGCGTCCCCCTTTGAGGCATTATCCATCTCATCTCAGAGATCATATAGATAGCTAGGCATATATTTATATAAACGCGTTTTCTTGGGGCCCACCTTCCCTTTCAAACTATATATGCACATTGCAAAAATTAATATCAAACCACTACTGCCATGGAATGAACTGAGAGAGCGGAATAGTCGTCAGATTTGCTGACCTTACTGCAGAGAGTTTATAATTACACAGATTTGATTCTGTGCCTCCCACATTTGGAGGGTCCCAAGACCATAATATCTAAGGCTTCTAAGCTACTAGGTTATTGGCACATACACGTATGTACTTATTTTCATAAATCAATATTTATGTATGTTACATTTAGACTGAGGTTGGCTCAGGTTATCCAAAGCGGAATCCTAATCCACCTACACTATATTTGTTCCAAACGAATAAATTTCTGTTATAAAAAACAGAAACAACATTTGGATAGTCAATTCAATGGGTTGTTATGTCAAGCACATCAAACTAAAACAGGGATGAGAAACCAATTGAAGGGGGGAAACAATAGAAAGATGGAAAATTGGTTGGAAATGGTAGACAATAAAATAGATACAATGTTACCTGGGCCGGTTGTTGGAGGAATAGAAGACAAAGAAGGTGAAACATTCCTTGGTGTTATCGGTAAAAGAAGGTTTGTGTGTGGAGTAGTAATGTTTTCGAACTACTGTTGATCAGGATGGTCGGACCGTTTGATTTTGGGAATCATTTAGACAACCGGTTTGATTTTATGTATTCCAAGCTTAATTCTTAGCCAAAAACTGTTGATTTGGTCGATAAYTCATTGATCCAAGCGGTTGAATCGTTGACCCATTCAATGGGTTTTATTTTTTATCAAAACATATCATCTGTTTGAATCTGACAGTTGAACCATCAACCTGAAAACTGATGGCCAGAATARCTTTGGTGTCAAATCGTTTTTTAAAACATTGGTGTGGAGTAAGAGATATGTGGTATTTAAAAAATTATTCATCTAATAAGGGGGAAAAGAAGATAAAACATGGCATATGGATAGTGTTACCTGGTATCGTCGCAGAAGAAGAAGGCGATGTCAGTGGAGCAAGAATGGCGGTTGGTCGATGGAGGTTAGGGCTTATTAGTTGCATGAGATTCTAATTTCTTTGTGGTTTTACAAAGAAAGTAATCCCATTTTCCTGTCCCACGGGAACGTTGAAAACATCAGAAACGTTTCCATGAAACATGCCAAACGGGACCTAATATTTTCTTACAGAATCTTCAATCCAACCGAATCCAGATTTTATTTTTAGTTGGGCTTAGCCCATCCTGAGTTGCAACCCTACTTGTTACATCTTTACCTACGCATTAGGCCCCTGAAAGGATACTTGCCAACATAGTAGTATAGATGTGGCTTACTGAGCATTTTTAGCAGTTATATGTTAGACAAATTCGTAACCCTGGACATTYAGGGTCTAGCAAATCAACCATTTTCTTAGATGAAGGTAGACCTGTTCATGGACCCGGCCCGGTCCCCAGACGGGCTTGAACATGCAAATGAGCCCGTGGG